TGATCCAAGTCCAACATGACCACAGACTCTCAAACCATCCATACAGTGAAGCCTCAAAGTGTCCCTCTGGTAGAGTGATCCCTCCCCCAGATATCTCAATGCGAGATGTAGTTTACCTTTATCCTGACAGAGACAAAACCAAGGGTCGGAGTCGATATCTTGTGATCAGCGTTGATTCCCCGTGGTGTAACGTACGAAAGTTCAGTGGCAACCAACTACGGCACACCACTTACAGAGTGCGATTATTGGACTGTTACCGTGTGTCCTGTCAGGTACCTCCTGCCTCTACATACCTCCCTGACGATGACTCCTCTGAAGACGAGGCAACAAAGGATCTGGACACTTCACCGCCTAGATTACCAGCAGTACCTGTAGAACTCTCCACCCCCGCAGGGTCCCATACTATTGACTACACACCTTGTCAACCATCCTCGGACAATCAAGATCCCCCCAGTGCTGAAGTTGAGCCTACATCTCGTGAGACTCACGAGTGGCAACCTCGTGTTTCCGGTTGTTCCTCCCCGGCGATTGTTGTATTGACGATCACAGATTTAAGTGTGTTTACCTACGCTAGTTTTCGGTCGTTGTCACTCACAGGCGCAGCACATATCGAGCCAGACTTTATTAAGGTGAAACAGCAGGCAGTGACATCGAATCTGGTCGCCCTCTGTGACTATTACGAATCAACATGGATCCGAAGCTCCGTGTGGATCGTGACTAATTGGAGCGTTTTGGGGACCGCCATTTGGACGAACAACGACCTGGAAAGCTGGCACAAACGCTTGAACCAGCTGTCCGGGTGACGTTGCCTACCTTTCTACAGGCTGCTTCCCCTCCTCTTCAGAGAAGCTGACCTGCTGCCTTTACAAATTCGACTGGTCACAGACGGTCAGCTGGACAGAAGGCAGCATGCTGGCCAGCGTGCCAAGTCCGATAAGTTTTTTAGGTTATGGGACGAATTCCAAGCCACAAATCTTACCGTGTCCCAGCTGCTGAGAGAGGTGTCTAAGTTAAATGGACCAATGGTCACTGTGTGACTGTGATACGTGCTTCCTTCCTTATCATCATTTGCGTGATAACGGTGTTATCTAACTACTACTGTGATACGTGCTGTTTTTACGTATTGTTGTTGATCATAAATATATTACATTATCACTCTTCCATAGCAATGTTGTCTGTCTTTTTACATTTTACGACGCTTCATCTTTGTTACACACAAAGTCACACAGTAACAATATTTTCGTATCACCGAAAACAAAAAATACAACACAAACCCTACATATACAAATACAAATACATGTTCAAGATACGGGAAAATATTCGTTCACTCTTCAATCACACTTTTCTTGTCCTTAGCTGCCCTTAGTTTCGTATCACTGAAAACATAGCATAACAACTTCGTTATACACAATCTAAGTAAAAATCAAATTTAATATATACCATTATTCAATTATTAATACACGTCTACGAACCAGTCTGGGCTACGAATCCACCGCGTCTACGAACTGGTTCAGTCAAGAAATCACCGTCTCCCATCAAAAATACTGTCTACTTGTAGTTACATATTTATATGAATCATGACCAAAAGGACACAACTTGTAACATAACGATTTCTTCCACGGAAGCGAGGTGGGGTTCAAAGTGACAAATTGTGGTATGTTATTGTCCGATAAATTTCTAGCTACAGTACATTCACGTGGTTAACGTGAATTCACCAGTATGTAGACATTAGTCGATCTTCTTCCTGTAACAGTGATGAGCAAGACTGGTCACCGTTTTCACCATCACTAGCGTCTGGCTCGAACGAATAAGGCCTTGCGATTGTTTCTTCATTGGTATCCGAGAAACAGTCACTGCTTGAGATCTGGCAATACCACTGAAGGGGAAAGACTGTCGGTGTCTGAATTACTTCCGGACATGTCAGAGTCTGCTTTGTAACGAAATGCCAATCCACTGAATTAACCATATTTAAATCACTTGATGTTTTAACACCCGAGTAAATTTGGGGAACAAAAGCCAGACCAAGCCAACAGGTACCCCTTGTGACAACAGGCGATGTTGACAGAATCGTCTATGAAAACAAGCTGTAACTCGAAAGTTTGGCAAAGCAGGTGACAAGATTAAATGACAGTAGATTGTGAAAACATAAAGCTTTCACTTTTCACAACAATTGTCACGATTTCAGGTTTATACAAGCCTGTAAACAAGATAATTAACCCATGAAATGTACATGAATTCTGCATCGGCCATCATATCTATTCGTCATATGACGTTACAGAGACGCGCCGCTCTGATTGGATGAAATTCCGTTCGCGGATGAGAATTGTGCACTGTTGTCAAAAAGGTCGATTTAAGTTAATTAAAGGTCGAAATGAGTAGTTTTAATGACGGCGTTTCATTTATAACGATGCCAGTTAGTGATTTATGTATTGTACCCCCATAGAGTATATGTGATCTTTAACATGATTTAGCTCTGTGTAAAATTCATAGGTCAACCCGACTATAAACAGCCAGGATTCAATTAGTCGTAGGGATCGATACGTGTTGACAGCAGAACAATAAAGGGCAACAGCAGCCAGGCGACGTGGCGTGTGCCACGTGGGGTGTATTTCCCATACTGCCTACAGGTTAACACAACATGATACGGTCCAGTGATCAGGAAGTGAATACACCGATCTGACCTGTTCTACCCCTGCTGAAATGAACTTGACTAGTTGGCTGGTTAATTCTATGGTGTCTTCCCACTCTGCCTACAGAAGTTTTAAAAAATGACAAGTGTTGGTTGGTAGGACATCTTTATTCATTCTAAGAATTCTCAGACTTTACATGGAGACATGGATTTATCATGAAAAACTGATAGGTTTTACAGTCTTTCAGTGGTTTTACAGTCTTTTCACACACAACTGACAATCACTTTGCAAACTTGATGAGGATGTCCAGCAGCATCAAGGTACTGAAGAAGGCGTTTTCTGCCGCTCTGGAGTGCTCCTTCAGTCTCAGAAGTCTCGTATCGAGCTCTCTGTAAACACGCTTGCGTGACTTGAGGAGAACACCACAGTCGAGCTGAGAGCACGTTAAGCTTTGTCTACGGCTTTGATATTCTTGATGTTGCAGATGAAGAGGTAGATGTTTGGGTGGGCTTTGGCAATAAGGGTTTTCAGCTTCAGGGTGCCACCCCTCAAGGTGGTTGTTAGTCCGCAGGGCTAATATTTCCATACTGCGTCCAGATCCTTACCGAAAACGTGCCTCATAGTCACCCATGTACTCGTGACGTAGTGGTTGAAGTTCCTGACCTTCTCTGTCTCCGGGCCTTCGTCCATGGCTTGGCGATCAAGTGTCCTGCACCATGTCCCGTGGAAGTAGTGCCAAAGGGCAGCTCTCTCTCTCCTGACATGGGTCTGCATCTGTGGGATGTCCTTGTAGTCGTTTGTCAGTCCTTTCTCAGACACATTTTCGCCACACAGGCTGAGTGAAGTGGAAGATGCATCCACGCGCTACTGATCTCATAGATTTCCTCCACTGCCCTGTTGGCTGACACCTCAAAGAATCTATCTGGATTTCACTAGGCGCAAGTTCACCCCCTACTTTGTCCCTAACAACATGTTTCAACAACGTGAATAATCTGGCATAGGTAGCCCTCATTACGATTTAGCAGCAGCGCATGCACATGGATACATATCCCCATTCACCACACAGTGAATGACGTACGCTTGCATTCAAGAATGTACACACACTTCCAATTATTTGCCTAATAATCTGGAAATTTCCCGATGTTTATTGGCATACCTGTGATCAATGCCCTTTTCTTTCTTTTAGCCAGTATTTCCATTCGCTGTTGACTTTGCCATTTAATGTGTCTGTGTGGTGCATTTCATATGCCACGTTCAGCCATTCTCCATAATCGATTACAGGACGATAAAGAACATCTACTTTGTTTTGACAACAGATCGTATCCATATTTTAGATTTTGTGTCATCTCCTCCAGGCTTCTGAAAAAACACACCTCAGAAACAGTGGGGCACTGCGATACTGAATTCAATGATATAATATTATCAGATAAATATTTTTAAAGATGTTCACCCGTTAGGATTACTACTAGTTTTTCCCCCGGGGCCCTCCATTTCAAGTTCGTCGATAAATCCAATCATTTTCCGGTAAAATTCCCTATGGCAATGTAAAACTTCTCGTTGGTCTTCATTCCAATAACTTATTTCACTTATATCCGACATATTTAGGGAAACAATAATCAAACACCTGCCTCTCGGTCTACAAGCTGTGGCGCTTTACCAGGCGTTGTTAGGTTGGGCAGCTACTTACCAACGGCGGTCTTGGATGGGCCTCCGTTTTATAAGCTGTGCAGCCATGTTGTTTAACTTAGCAAAGGCGGTCTTGGTAGGGCCGCTGTAAGAAATAAAACCACCATTCTGTGTACGACACTACGCCTGGTGTTGTTTCAAGAGGTGACAGAGCTGATACTGCTGAAACTGACTGAAATTTCAACACGCATTGCAAAATGATTGCTCAGTGTTGCTTTTGACCTCGATCATATCGCTAAAACAACATCATTTTTAATACTGTGAGGCGATATGTAACGATACTTGAATTCTGACGTATGGCTGCCTCTGGTATTGCCCACCATTCAGCCTGAAGACCTGACCGGTCGCTTCGGTGTGATCTGGTTCTGTTGCATTTTCTCTCCGCCCGCCCGGGCGTGCAACTCAAAGTTAAAATTAAATCATTTATATTTTTGCATATTTAAACTAGATTTACAATGCAATGCATGCTGTATTGCATATTAACAAATTAAAGGATGCTCCACATTCATGTGCGCAACTACCGATTACTCGTTGCATGATCGCACCTGTCATTCAACCACTTGCATACTGAAACTATTCTACATACTAGTCTACACACGTTCCAGCTCGATCAAGCACCACAACATTCCGCTATTCCAGTCAGGATTGTATACAGCCAGTAGCAGCACACAGAGGAAAACTGATATGGCGAAGCACGATATTCGAAGGGCGACCAGATATGATTTTGCTGACGTCATGAGGATCGGAGACGTATACGACGGCAAGGACTACCTCTGTTATCGCTACAAAAGCTTCCTCGACGACCCCAACAACAGATCATACATCTACATGGTCGGCCATGCTGTGGTAGGTGCTCAGCAAGTTACTTCCAGTAGCTAGAGGGCGGTGGGGTAGCCTAGTGGTTAAAGCATTCGCTTGTCACGCCGAAGACCCGGATTCGATTCCCCACATGGGTACTACGCGACAAGCCACTTTCTGGTGTACTCCCGCTATGATATTGCTGGGATATTGCTAAAAGCGGCGTAAAAGCATAGTCACTCACTCACCTACTCACCGTATGACTCACTCCAGTAGCTAGAGAACATTCACAGAAAGCTGTAACGAGACGCCGTATTGTGGTTTACAAACGGTTAGGTCCCGTAAGTTCGACCTTTGGATGGGTGTAAAAACAAACTGGTCAGTTTTGGAGGGGTAATCTCATCTGTACAAACATAAGTCCTCCTTTGATGTATTTGGCTAATTTCATGGCGAGTGGTTTATAACTGGATTTCATAATTGAGGTGGATTTATCTATTGATGGATTATTATAAAAAAACTTAGGCAGATATTTATTTCTTAGGGTTGCTAGACATGGGCATGTTAAAAGGAAGTGGTATTCGCCCCCCACTGCTTCATTACATAATGTACATTGTCTGTCGGATCTTATAACGTTAGTCCATCTTCAAGTTTCTATGGGTAGTCTATGGTTAGCTGTTCTAAAGCGTGTGCACCATATTCTAAGATTTGGGGGTAGTTCTAAAAGATAAGAATTTAGATGAGGTAATTCTTTATAAAAGATTGTAATATTTACCTTTTGAGGAAGCATTTACTGTTGCATTCCATGACTGATAAAACTGATCAATAAGGATCCTTTTAACATTAGTTTTTAAAGCATTAGGAGAAACAATATACTGTGACATCCAAACATGATATAAGCCAGTATCCTGTAGGATATTTTCTATTGACGTAAGCAGGCTAAAGTTATAATTAGGCCAGGTTGACTTCATGGTATACATGAGAGAATATATCTTGTATGACAGCTTGTCTGGGAATAATAACATTTTACACCAATGAAAAAGCATTCGGCTTTTTACGGATATATTTAGCCGATATTGACCCAGCTCGCCGTATACCATGAAGTCAAGAGTTGTCATTTTAACCTTGAGAATAAATTTCCAAAACTTTAGATGGAGAAGTTCTATGATTAGTGTATTTTCATATCCCCACACGTCTGAAGCATACAATAATATGGGTTGTACAAGTTGTCAAACAGTTTTAACTGGCAATCTAGTGGCATCTCTAACATTCTTATTTTCCTCAAAACTGCATACATGGCTCTGGAAGCTTTGGGATGTAGTCGTTTAATACCTTTACAGAAACGTCCATTATTTTTAAACAAAATACCAAGATACAACTTCAATATTTTCATCATCAAGTTTAATTATGGGACTTTTTTTACAACTTCTTCTAGAGAATATTACAACCTTAGTTTTTTATATATATACTTTCAGTTTCCATGTTTTGCAGTATTCTGAGAAGATATTTAATGCATACTGAAGATCATCACTAGATTCCGCAAATACTACAGTATCATTAAACTAACAACTAGTCTCTGAAATGAACATATTTTACTGAAAAAAGTTCATAGTAAAAAAAATAGAATGAAAAGGAGCCCTCAAACTTGCCACATTTTCTAGACTTGTGTGGGCTTTCTTGGATATATTTTTCAGCCTGAAGCTGATCTTCAACTTGTGTGGGCTTTCTTATATATTTGCTTCAGGGTCTGTACGAGAGACTACAGTATCATCTGCATACAACAATAAACACAACTCAATGTACAAACCTATATGATCTTCAAACATACTCTGAGCTGACTTCAAGCCAATATAATCATGTTCAACAAGGAAAGATTCGAGGTCATTCAAATACAGGGCAAATAAAAAAGGCGACAAATTTTCACCCTGTCTGACACCAATATTTCAGGAGAAGAAAGGGGATTCAATCCCATTATGTACTATACAAGATTTTATATTTTGATATATGTCATGGATAATGCCAAACATTTCCCACCAATATTATTCCTAATTTTGCCAGAGACCATAGCGCCAAACAGTATCAAATGCTTTACGAAAATCTGTGAAGACACAAAACAATTTCTTCCTCATATTTTGGTATATATCTATCAGAGCTTTAAGAATATATATATTATCTATTGTGGAATACGATTTCCGAAACCCAGCTTGTGAGTCACTTATCAGACGCTTGGATAGGATTGCTGTGAACAGCTTGCCTAAGCAAATAACAATGGATATTCCCCTGTCGGTATCGGGGTCGGCTTGGCTTCCTTTGTTTTTAAAAATGGGCTTTATGTAACCATCTGACCAAGCTTGGGGAAAAGCCCCGTGATCTAGTATGCCCCGTTCTTACCGCTCTGCCTTCTCCAAATTCAGATCAGGTACTGCTCCTCTGCATTTGGAAACCGGCAGATATACAAATGTGAATGTGAATGAGAGTGAATGTTCTGTTGTATTGCCCTATGTATGATAATTTGCGTGAAAGTTTATATGAAAATGTCTGTTGTAGCTATCCCAACTTCTTAGATCTCTGTGATGATGATAAATTAGTTTTACTTTTTAAACACCATGTATATTTCAGTGCCAAAACCTGCTTTTATATCTTGCAAAGAAGAAAACATATTTTTACGGATAGATTTTATACTGTATATAACTATATCATTATTTATTTTTAGTGTTTATAGTGCATTTAATACATTCGTCTCTCATAACCATTAAAGGGTGGCTCACTTATATGTTATCTTTTATAAGTATATTTATATATGTATTTTATGTGAGGTGAGACTGAAATAAAATATCTGTCTAGTACCAGGTTAAACAATTTAACATAGGCTGGTAGCATTACATAAGCAGAGGCTTTGATATATTCGTTACGTACATTATCTAAACCACAGGCTTTGTTATTTCTTAAATCTTTAATGCATGACATAATTTCAGCTTCAGTGATCCGGCTGTCTAACACGGACATGTCAATTGAAGAGACATCACTTATTTCTATATTATCATCGTTATGTACATCAGTATTCATTTTTTTTAAATGGTTGAATAATGTATTGATTTCAATTTCACACGGCTGGTTTTCGCTCTAACAAATGATTCAAGATACCCCAAAATGTTTTAGGGTCACTGCTTTTCGTCTCTCGCAGCCGCTGAGTACATTCGTTCTTAAATAATTTGTACGACTTTCTAATAGTTTTTCTATAGTGTTTACTGGCCGAAATGAACAATTCTGTCAACATTGCCTTTGTGTAACCCATAAAACCTTTTGTGCGTATGGTAATCCTTTCGAGCCAGTTTACATGATTTATTAAACCACGGTTTATCCTTTGCTTTACCCCCTTTTGGAATAGCTTTACACCCAAATGTATATTTGGCTGCGTCTACAAGAGCTTGCGACGTGACATTCGTAATTTCATTAATACGAACAGATACATTACTGGTATCAATAGAGTCAATTCGCACATCGATTTCATGTAATACATTACTATCAACCTGGTTTACATAAACATCACATTTACAGGCTTCCCATGGATTCAGTGTTACACGTGTAGTACCCTTGTCACTGACTTGTGTAGGGTTACATACCTTCACCTCGCATCCTAACTTGAAAGAAATGGCGCAATGAACATCTGACAATATTCCATCAAAATCACTTATTTCAAAATCCTCAATGTTAGGGAACATTTCAGCCGTAGCAACACAATAATCAACAACACTGGCATTCTTGCAAGTATGTTTTCCGATATACTTGTCTCTCCCAACTCTCCTATTGACAATATACACACCATTGTTTTTACACACATCCAGAAGCTTATAGCCATAAGAGTTCACAGTTTGTCCGTGGTTTGTCTCGCAATGTTGATGTTATTTTCACTCAGTGTTTCCACCTTAGAGTACATTAAAAAATTCGTCTATTTGGTCATTATCCCAAAAAAGTAATGAAAAACTATATAATTAGGTACGTCCTTAGTGCGAGCATTAAAATCACTAGTTATGCACACATAGTTTGTAAGTGTAGACATATTAACAATATCAAGTTCGAGTTCTTTATCTGCATATTTACTGTTTTCTGGTGGCATATTATCACATCCAAGGATTAAATCAGATGGGAGGTTAAGATAAGCCTTGGAAATTTTACACCATAGAGTTATATCATTTGTCCTTGGGATCACAGATATATAGTCTCTTAGATGTTTTTTTATAGCTACTATGATTCCTCCCGATCCACGGTTTTACAGGAATTGAGGACGGGTATTTGTGTAAACACAGAACCCGGGGATATCGGTGACATCGATTTCACACAGTTTAGTCTCAGTTAGAGTGAGACTGACTGACTGAGATTGGTTTTACGCCGCTTTCAGCAATATTCCAGCAACATCACGGCGGGGGACACCAGAAATGGGCTTCACACATTGTGCCCATGTGGGGATTCGAACCCGGGTCTTCGGCGTGACGAGCCAACGCTTTAACCATTAGGCTACCCCACCGCCCCAGGTCAGTAACTCTGGTGTGTGTGGTCGTCTGAGTACATCACATCTTGACCCATGGACCGGCTTTCCAAGCTCGTAGAGTCTGTCGTTGATATACAGTCTGTCAACTGTTAGTTTTACCTTGTCTCCTGCACGGTATGCAGCACGACGCACGGGATATGACTGTTTCCTTTTGTCCTGTATTTCTTTCGGGAACTGTTAGTTGATATAGAAGTTTGAGCCCTATAGGTGTGCGAATCCAGCCTGTCTAACTACATCTCTGTCCTTATATTGAGAGAACATGGCCACAATTGGCCTCGGTTTCCTAGCCCCTGGTCCCCCAATTCGGTGCACCCTGTCGAACTCTATATTTCTATCTAGTTTCAGTTCAGTTTTGATAACGTAATCCAGAGCCTTGTTAGTATCCTCCTCTGGTTTCTCAGCTATCCCACTGAAAACAAGATTATCCCGCATTGACCTTGCGTGAACATCAACGACTTTGTCACGTAGTGCTGATATCTCAGTGAGTAATTTGTCATTACTCGTTTTACTGATAAGTGCGGATATGTCAGAGATTTGCTTACTATTCTTACTGACCTGGGGCGGTGGGGTAGTCTAGTGGTTAAAGCGTTGGCTCGTCACGCCGAAGACCCGGGTTCGAATCCCCACATGGGTACAATGTGTGGAGCCCATTTCTGGTGTCCCCCGCCGTGATGTTGCTGGAATATTGCTAAAAGCGGCGTAAAACCAAACTCAGTCAGTCAGTCAGTCAGCCTTACTGACCTCCTTTTCTATCTCAGTGTACTGGCATTCATGAAACTTAGTACACTCCTCGACATTCTGGACAGTCTCTCTCAATTCTTTTATCTCTGTCGCCATGTTTCCAGTACGTAGACTAGGTTTGTTCAGCGTAGTCTCCATGCTGTCCTGTTTTGAAAATTTCCCTCCATGTTAGCAAGCTTTGTGAAGAGCACATCCACCCACGGTCAAAGGCCCTCGTGTCTTTGCGAAGATTAACACACCACACCCCTGGTTTGTGCGGACACATCGTCATCCATTTGTGTCAAGATCGTTTAGTTGGGGGTCAAAATCGGGTTTCAATCGACTTGCAGAAATAACAATAAAGAATTGGTAGGTGTCATGAGTGGTGCTCGATAGGCCAATCAACCATGATTATGTTTACATTAAGTTTTAATCAATTGCATGCGATGGTAGCGTAGCGATCGGCAAGCAGGCGGGTTGGGTACACCGAAGTGTCCGGCCTTGTCATAATGTATTGTACTGTGAAGCATTTCGAGTCGGGGGTCATCTCAAATGTTTTGTTTTTTTAACATCTTTAATCCTCGCAAAGACACGAGGGCCTGTGCCCACGGTGGCTTACTTTAGCTTGGGGGCGAGGAAACGGGGACTGCTGCGGGGCCCGGGGGTCCTGGCGGTGGTCCATACGTGAACGTTGGGGACGTCTGGTACTGTCCATACATAACATTGTTTGGTGTACTTTGAGGTCCCTGAAACATGGCCATCCTTCTTATTTCATCTATTTCTAACACTGTTTTAGTCTGTTGTTTTTACACATTTCTCTCATCATGGGGTGGACTTTCTTAAGTTTTTTCTACTTCTGTTTCTTTTCCTTTTCTTATTGACGTTCATTCATTTGGTTGCGCTTGGGTTCTCACCCGTGAGCTCTTGAAAACACGTCCGTACCCGACGAAGCCCAAGCTCTTGTTCCAGACAATGGGCAGTCAATGTTTTTTACAACGGCACAGCTAATGCTAAAATGTTCACCGGAAAATAATTGAACAAGGACGCTGTAAAATGTCATTTTTATTTGTGCATTCATTAGGGCAGTAATTTCCACTCTCTACATGATAAATAATACATATAAATAAAGTTGATAGATGGTATAATATTTATTTTTATTTTGTTGTTCAGTAATATTTTAAGAAGATGTGTATACTCTTGTCATAACACGTCCCTTTCTTTCCACAAATGGCATGCAGCCTTTTACAAGATTATTTAATGTGTTTTACCTTTTAACCTCCCTCTGTACCATCGTAGTTCTTACTTCACCAACAATGTTCGATGCCAGTTGATCTTGCAACTTACAGACGGGCGGGTGGTGTTTTCTATTTGAAATTGCATGGTAAAGCTTTAGGAAAATTCTACCATTTAAAAATGCTATTTTCATCTCTCAGCTTGTACAATCCGTCCTTTTCAAAATTCATAATCATTTTACGCTTATGCTGCAGAGATATCCACCCAAACCCTGGGCCAATATGTAGAGATCTGAAAATTGGTAATCAAACTCCAAGCAACAGAATTTATCAGCCTATTCTTGACTCTGTTCATAAATTCATATTCTTTCAAATAGATTCAAATTATTCTAAACTCTTATGCATGCAATTACCACGAATCATTTGATATATTTTTGTAGACTTTTTGCTATGTTATGCATTTCATGCCTTTGTGGACATAATTGTTTTTGTACTTTGTTTGAAACTAATTATTGATTGCATAGTATTGTGTAATGTTTGATGGAGCGGCACTTACATAAGCCGTTGGCTTGTTGTGTCAATCCATATTCATGTTATGTTTATATTTCATGAATGAAATATGTGTATAAATTATATCGTTCACTGTTGAATCTCTTGATCTGCAGTCTTTCCCCTTTTCCTCTTGTTCACGATGTACATATAACCATTTACACATAGGTATCTTCCACCACGAGCCGTAGGAAGAAACTTGTTGTCTAATTATACATTTGCCATAAGTGAAGTTGTGGAAATGACGAAGAAAACTGCCATTTCCAACATTCTTATAGCATGTGATGTAAGAAAGTGAATAACTCACCAGTAATCAACATGATCAAAGTCATTGAGTGAGATTCATTCACTCGCTGGTACACATGCCATATTTCGTTTCCTGAGTGAACACATTGCACATTTTGTAGAAAACCAGTGTCTTAATCTCTGAAAACAACACTGTTTTCACAACATCAAACACTTCACCTTCACTTCACGCACTATAGCGTTTGGTAGTCGTTATTGGTCTCTTGTTTGTATCCATGATGGATGCGACCATAGCGGCAGGACTTGCTCATCTGTTCGTAATCACCTTTTGGTAAGTGACTGTATAAACAAATGCTTATGAAAAAATCGAACTCATACAATCAACAATGTCCTGGGCAGAGGACTGTGGACAATGACAGGGTTTTGTTGCATATAGTTGTTATAAATCGTTCATTCATTGACTAAGGCAAACACGGTCAATCTATTGCTGTAGATATATTGTAATAAAGGGTTTTGACTTGCTGAATGTCAGTCGTATTACGCAGAATGGAGTGTTGGTGTTATGATGGTATTCCGACACACCGTTTTAGCAACAGATTATATGATCAAAGTGTCAAGAATAAATTATTTGTATTAAAATATTCCTATATTACAAGTTGGCTTCACTGCATCATTCCTCGTTGATTAAACCCATCCAAAGGTCGAACTTACGGGACCTAACCGTTTGTAAACCACAATACGGTGTCTCGTTACAGCTTTCTGTGAATGTTCTCTAGCTACTGGAGTGAGTCATACGGTGAGTAGGTGAGTGAGTGACTATGCTTTTACGCCGCTTTTAGCAATATCCCAGCAATATCATAGCATATCAAAGTGGCATATTTTTGTATGAACAAGTAACTTAAATTAATTCTGTGTTACAGGTTGGGTTCTCTGCATCCTTTCTCATTGATGGAGGACAGACTTTGCTGTGTCGTAGCGGTAGAGTGAAGGCCTCATTCCAAGGTCAAGGCATATTTCGGACATTGAAGAAATATGTACGCCATCAGTACAGAAGAAGAGAATCCCTAAAATACGAAGTAATGGTTGCAGACAATATAAACTTGAGAGAAAGACCAACTTTGAGGCAATCATTTACTGAGCTTTTTGCAAGGTATGGAAAACGTTCTAGATCCTAGAGTTTACCATATTTTTACACATCAAATCAACACAAACAGAAATACTTGTTTAAGAATCGCATCATTGATGTGTCGGCTGAAGCAAAACCTCAAATATACAACCAACCTTATGAACAATATCGGGTTCACGTTTTATGACACCGCTTCGTGGTGTAGTGGTTAGAGCGTCCGCAAGGAGAGCGGAAGGTCAGTGAGTTCGATCCCCGACCGCGTCATACCAAAAGACGTTAAAATATGGTACTTGTTGGTCCCTGCCTGGCGCTCGGCATTAATGGGTACAATAAGGACTGTAGTGGCCTGGAGTCAGAATAATGTGTCTGAGTGGGTATTCATGCGTCACTGCGGCATGGAGTATCTCAGTGGGCTAGCACTATAGAACCAGCTTAAGTCTGGGCTAATACAAGCAGCCGCACATACACACATACACACGCATGCATCGTCGTCATATGAGCGAAATATTCTCAAGTACGACGTTAAACCCAATTTCAATCTTTACCTCACGTTTAATGATGTATGGACTGATATGCTGTTCATGGTCACCTTTTGTATGTTCAAATTTGTCCCCAGCTTCAAATGCAACCGATTTGATTGGATGGTCAGGTGCCATGGTTAGAGATGATTTTGTGTGTTATCGTTCCCCAGTGCCATGTAGCGTTGTCCACTCACTCACTCACTCACTCACTCACTCACTCCTCACTCACTCACTACTCACTCACTCACTCACTCACTCACTCACTCACTCACTCACTCACTCACTCACTCACTCACTCACTCTCCTCACTCACTCCTCCTCACCGAGTATATTTCCAAGACTGGCATCAATCATTTCGAATCAGAATGATCATGATCAATGTACAACCGCTACTTCTATTTTAGAACGTGATGTACTACACCAGCAGCGTCTCCCAGGTGGCAAGGTTACCTCAATCAACATCAATTAACATGGTCAAGGAAATGACAAAAGATTGACATGGCAAGACTATTCTCCTCCCAAGAGTCATGCCGTCAATTGTTTCCTGATGGTAAACTCACGGTAGATTGGGTGCCTTTTCGACCGATAACCGCAAAACATGCAAGTACATATTTCCAGCAAGACTCCCTGATCCTCTCTTCTAAGAACGAGGGTGACGCGTCGTTGGTAACATTGAGAACACAAATATCAGCCAGTGGAGGTCGCATGTACCATGTTGACATATATGGCAGTGATGTTAACACACTACATCATCATGTCTTAAGACATCTTCATCACATGATGACGTTCCGCCAAGATGACGTTCTTATATGCTTGGTATCAGAGGAGAACATGACTCCCATAATTCAGGATATTATGAAGACCTTCTGCATTCATGAACACCATTGCTGTTGTACAAAAATGTATGTTTTTGAAAGAGACCTGGTTCGCGTTCAGTGAAACGTTAACAGTATACATTGCTGTCACTAATGTACTCTAAAGAAACATCAACTACTATTTGCCAAATAGTCCAGGGCGAAAAAGCGAATCTGCCCCAGGACGTTCATATATTTTTGCCGCCGTGATATTGCTGGATTATTGCTAAAAGCGGCGTAAAACCTCAATCATTCATATATTTTTGGCGGTTGAAGTAGCGTAAAATTATTGTCCTCCTGCGAGGGTACGTAAGTCCCAAAACATTTCAAGTCAATTTAAGTGTACCAGGTTTTTAATCGTAGTACTTTTGTGTTTTTAATGTATGGCTAAATCTCAGCATCAACGCCAATGGCTGAAGGGATGGTGTAAATCCAGCTTGGGTCCATGCAGGTAGCAAACGTAATGTAAGTCCCCATGGGCCATAGTATGGTGATCTACCTTCAGTTGTTGGCGATCTATAGCCCGTATTTTATATTGTATTGTCTTCTTTGATTGGAATATTTTAACTTTGCTCGCTAGTTTTATATTGATATCTGTGATTCTCTAGTCTTTTTACTGTCCATCGTCGACAGGTTTTAACTTCAAAATGTTTCCACTTTTATTGTATGGATTGTTTTCGTCACGATATGGCTGAGATATTGCCGATGTGACGTTAAATAGTAACTCACTCACTCACTCATATATTTTGGTATCAGAGGAGGACGTTATCCACATAATTCAGGACATTATGAAAATCTTTTGCACTGACAAATACCAACGCCTAAGTAACAACATGTACCTCTTTGAAAGATATCTTGTCTATATTTAGTGGGTGAGTGAGTGAATGAGTGAGTTAACATTTAACATCACTTGGGATATATTTTATTTTATTAGTAAACTTGTGAATGAAGTTTGGATTTGAAGCAGAGAAGGGGTGTGTTGTCAAAGAAATGGAACCATACAATTACCTTTTGAATTGCACGAAATTGAGAAGCATGATGTATTCTAGGAACAAGGCCAGCAATGTTCTCTTTAGAAGGCCAGACGCTTTTCATTTTAACTCAAAGCAGTCTTAAGAAGTCAGGAGTCTTACCCACCCTAAGTCACTGGAATAAATGCCGACATACCACGTCTCAGGGGACATCACGGAAGAGCTGTAGTTATGTTTCATTTTCATACCTTGCAGCGTGAAATTAATCATCTATTCAAATATTCCATAGAAACATGAGTTACAGTTTCAGCAAAACGCCAAGTTATAGGACGTCCCTGCAGTGGAGACCGCATAAGGGCCGCATGTTCACATGCTACGAAGGTGCCAAGCACATTGGGGCATAAATTTGATAATTTACAGTGCGTTTTTTAACTGCATTAAAAGACGACCGCACTAAAATTGTCGTTTCTTCATATTGCAAGTTACTGGAATGCATGGTGCAGGGGTATCCTGTCGCAAGGTCGGTGCGAACATGAACATAAACCACACGCTTAGTAGCAGACTTGTCAGGAATAGCTGGGAGACTGAGGAAGACCAATGGCCGTGATAACCGATTCCTAACTGAATACACAATGCCAATCATAATGACCCATGCAAACGCAACGGACATTGGACTCCATCTCTCCAGCAACACCATCAGAAGGAAGCTGTGGACTACTGGTCTAAGAGCACTTTGTCCGATGAAATTCAATCCTTCATCAGACCGAAAAACTTTGGAATGGCTTCTTGACATTTCAGTGGAGGGGTCATGTTTGTTACAGTTGGACAACCAAGGGCATATCTTGGGCCAAACGGATCACTGTTGTGTGGTTGAACTCGTTCAGTTATCTTTAGCAGAGACGCCTTGTCACAAATCAGAAGAAGAGATTAGGTTCCAAGGTTTATTGAACCAACCTCCAAATATACAATACAAAACACGCTTTTCACACATTCATCCTATACAAAACAGAAATAGAGCTCTCTCACATGCAACTCACAATTATGTAATTCACATGTAACTCACACGCACATAACCCAGGCTTTTCAATCCTCACCCACATATACTCAAACCATGACACACACTTATTCACCTGCACACAGACCCTCAAACACTTATCTAACCAGACCTACTCGACTCGACTCATCGGCACAGTCGTAGAATAATAACTGTTATAAGGTACATGTTTATAGTGATAAAAGTAAATGATGGTTACTATGGCAAATAGTGATACAAGTAATTGGTTAATGGTTACTATGACAACAAGGTAACAGTATCCGTGTTTGGCATCAATCCCTGTTTTCTGTCAGTACGAATCCACAGTTACCAGGCTACTGGCGTTAGCAGTCCTCCGTACTTCCACTGTCCGACTCATCAGCCTACAATAAGCCACTACTCCAACCTTGGCAATTACTCCTGGTGATCTCACGCTTGCCCTCTGGTCAACAGCACATCACCCTTTTGGAGAATATCAAGTTCAACAGTCTTCATGTCTTTATATCCTTCGTGCTAAATACAAACCACTTGCATTTCCTAATATGTATGGTAAGAGTTCCGCCCGTACCCCCAGCTTGAGATGTGAAGGTTTTTTAATAAGGGTTAGGGTAAGGTCCCGACATCTGAATATGTTTAGAAATCTCAGGCCGAAGGCTCGCGTTCGATTCCCCACATGGGTACAATGTGTGATGCCCGCTGTGATATTGCTGCAATATTGCTAAAAGCGGAGTAAAACCCAACTCGCTCACTCACTCAACTCCTTCCCTCCCCGTTATCTTACTTATAAATTGCAAGTATTCCTTCTTGTAGATACTACATCGGAGGCATTTCAAAGCTTGTGCAAAGCTCAAATGCATTTGTGAGTATGAGTTCGCTTGCAGGCGCACATACTTCTTGAGTGTCCAGGCATCGCGAATCGCCATGTTGTTGTAAATGTAGCTTTAACATTGTGTCTGCAGTATACCTTAACTTGTTTCGAACGCATGCTGGAATATATATTTCAGCATGTTTCGTGTGTGCAAAACACCCATTGTACTAAACACGCTTTACAAACATGTCACTGATTTAGTATGTAGCCTATACACATTTAATGCAAATCGTTAAGCAGAACCTGACTGCCATACATTTGCATGATAAAATAGTTTACACCAGCTCTCTATATAGTTCCAGCCTCGTGACGTTTCACGGCATTAAGTTCTATACTGCTCAGCAGGTAGCAACACATGGCTCCCAATTCTGTGATCCAACTGATATGACAAAGCACTATAGTTTGGCATGAAATGCATGTGGACCCGGGTTTTTTTAAATATCTCTTCATCCAATGACCCAGTCCCTCTTTTTAAAAAAAAACTAAACACATTTCTAATTAAACGTTTAGCATCATCTGAATAAGCTTTCATGATGACAGCTAGAAGTCGTCAATGTGAATGATCCGAACGGTTTATCACTGTGCAGTGCACAGGTAACTATCATGAACTGCACGTGCATTTACCTGTATGACCCAACACTGCCGCTGTTACAGGTCATTGGCTCCCTCCCTCTGCCAGCAGTCTGCGTTCTGCTGTTTATTTTGTTGACAGTCACATAGACAGATTCTTTAATACAAATGCATAAAATCGGTGATTTACAATGTGATTAGGTTGTTTGACAAAACATCCACTTGCACAGTTTGAGATCGATTGGATCATTGGATGAAGAGATATTTAAAAAAAAAACGGGTCCACATGCATTTAATGCCAAACTATATATTCGAAGGGCGACCAGACATGACTTTGATGACGTCATGAGGATCGGAGAGGTGCATGGAGGCAAGGACTACCTCCGTTACAGCTACAAAAGCTTTTTAGACGACCCCAGCAACAAGTCATACGTCTACATGGGTAGCAGGGTTGTGGTAGGTCCCAGCATGTTTCAGTATTACTTGGAAACCTCAATTAGTAAGACGTCGTGTACAGAAAGCTGTTAAGAGACTCGATGTTGTTTTACTAAATCAAGTGACAAATCTTTTATTCGTATTAAGAGAAGAGAAATTACATGTGTGAATATTACAGTAATGCATAACTTCGCACTGAATTTTCATTACACTATTCTTGTATCTCATTTTTCACTCGAGATATATAATTAGATCGTTTTCTCAGTACCCTCACACCGTTCGAAGCGTGTGAGTGAGTTTGGTTTTACGTCGCTGTTAACAGTATTTCAGCAATATCACGGCAGGGACACCACAAATGGACATTACACATTGTACCCATGTGGGGAATCAAACCCGGGTTTTTGGCGTGACGAGCCGACGCTTTAACCACTAGGCTACCCCACCGTCCCCTGTTCGAAGGGAGAGGCAGTATATATGTATACATACTCGGATTATGTAATGGCATTGCGATTAGGTGCCTCACTCTGTGGGTGTGGGTTCGAATCCCTGATGGGACCCAACCCCCCAAAAGTACTAGAATCTGTACTTTACTCAGAAATTGTAATCCCAAATATAACATATGTTACATTTGACCACTTTCTAAATGGCATTGTGAAATCATAATCGGATTATGACAATACATTTTAGACAGAGAGAGGTGTATTCATTCATGTAGAAAGTACTTATTAAGACAAAATAATATTCATCTCCCGTCCCGTTACAAAGA